CAAAGTGAAGTTTTAAAATAAATTACTCAAAAGGTATTAGATTTCAAAGGAACTAATTATTTGTTTAATTATGTATTTTTGGGTAATTATTTCTCAGAACTTTTTTATTTTAAGTTTTAAGTTTTATCTTATTATTTATCAGGAAAAAACATATCTATATGTATATTATGGGTGTGTTTTTGAAGAAATAAAGTAAACTTAAAATATCTCAGCCACAGAATGGAACACAATTTCAAAACTACAGGCATCATACTTGCAAGGCTTGCAATGCAAGCACACACGACTAGTATATTATTAACTTTATGTAACAACTTTAAAAAATGCACTAAATCTTACCGATTTTTTTGTCTTTTTTTAGTCAAATCTTACCGATTTTTTAGTCAATTTTTTTTAAATAAACTTTGGTATAATTTTTTTAAAAGCACCTTTGCTTTTAGACTAAATTTTAAAAACTTAATTAATATACTTTATTTTAAAAAAATTTAATTAATATACATTATATATCTTCTTTTTATTTAATAACACAATTAATTAATGTAATATTTCACTAAATTTAAATTAAAATTAAATTTTAAACAACAAATAAATTATTTTACCGCTCAGCTTATTCAATAGACACAAATACAAAAATATTAACATGTCTTGTACATTAAAGGAGTTTATGGGGGAGGACGGTCCACTTACTGAACCCCAAATTCAATTTCAATTTTTAGTACAGTACAATGGGTCTTCTCTTTTTAGACGGCCAAGGATTTTGATATTTTTAACCCCACGCATTTCAGCATTTTGATGATTTTCTATTCTGTTGATATGTTTGATAGTGGATTTCTTAATTTCCTCAGCCACTGTGCTCATATTCAGGTCTTAGTGGATAGTGGCGTTTCTAACATACCAGAGTGCTCTTACAATACTACGCAGCACTCTGTTCTGAACAGTTTAAATAACTAGTCTATTACAATATACAATTAAAAATTTATTGTGTAGAGTGACTTCTGAGAGTCTGCCAACAGCCAATGTGGCTTTCTTATTTGTAATTTAATTACCGTTTGTAATTTAATTTACAAACGGTACAAGATAGCCGTTCGTCGTAACAGATATATATGTATGTAATTAATGATACGGTTTGTAAAGTTGACGTGCAGTAATTTATCTGGATTTACCAATATTCTCTACATTTTCATCCGTATAACTATATCATCTAGCACTTTTTGCACTTTCTCTCCCTTATTGCTCTCCGTCACCGCTCTCCCCCGGGCCAGATTAGGCTGTGCTGTATCTCTGGTATTATCTCTGGTGTACAACAAGTACAGGACAGGACTCAGCACACTACCCTGGGTTTTTAAGTAGGACTCTAGGATTACACAAATTTTATTTTCTTATTTTCTTATCTTCTTATTTAATGCCTGAGCAACGTCCAAGAATACAGTTGAGTATATCTCTTTTATCTCTAGCACGTTTTCGGTGGCATTCTGATTCTATGGTCAACGGTTGAGTGGTTGCTTCTGAACCCAAACTGATGTCTGGTACAAGACGTTTTTCTTCTACTGTTGACATCATGCGGGCTAATAGTAATCTGTCTAGTAACTTAGAAATTATAGGCAGGAGGAATATTGATCGATAAAACTTCATGTTATTTAAAGGTTTTCGCGGCTTAGGTGCCATAAGCGCCCCGAAACTTCCAATTCTTCTGGGAAGTATTGCAATCTTAATACTGAATTAAATAGATATAGTAACTTTTTTTTTGGCAATAACCGCCACACTTTTAGTACTATACCAATGATCATACCAGTACCAGGAGCCTTCTTGTATTTTATTTTAGAGATTTCAATTGCTAGTTCCTTCATTGTCATTCTATTAATAGGTATATTATCACAATTTGGATACTTTCAAAATAAGTCTGACGGGAGAGGGATTTGAAAGTATTTTCTAGATGATTTGCAAAGCAAGAAGTTTTTTCAGTATCAGTAACAGCCCATGAACCATCGTGTTTGATTAACGGAGGGACCTGTATTTTCGGTTTTCTTTATATTTTGTATTTCTTTATATTTTTAGTGATTTTCCATAAATTATCTCCTCCGATATATTACGAACTTTATTTTGAATAGATTTGTTTTTAGCTTCCTTCAGTAGTTTCTTCAGCTGGTAGCTTAATCGATTGACTACTAATACAGTTCCATCAGACGGAGACATTTGCCACTTTTTGCTAGTTTCTGCTGTTGCAACTGTTGTCATTGGAGTATTTAGATTAATACTGCAACCAAGTCCTTTTGGAAATCCACACCAGTTTGTAGTCTTGTTGGAAACTACTAATGGTTCATTTCTAAATATGATCATTTCACTTACAAGCTAAGCCCCTTCGCAATGAAGAAATCAACCAGTCAGGTGTCCTGTTGGCATCACTCGGCCAATAAGTTGTTTTTCTTCTTTACAAGAATTTACATTTTAATTGACTAGCAGCTGTAACAACGCTCTCGCCTTGGGCGTGCTAATTTTCGAGCACCAGTAACTGTTGATGTGGAGTTCGAGCACCAGTTGGCTTTAAAGTGTCCAACTATTACAAAGTTCCTCCCTATGCTCTCAAGAAGTATTTTCTAATCGGCTACATATAAGCTATGTTTTTGTGGGTAATAAATGGATGATATCTTATACTCTTTGTTGTTCATATTTTTTCTATTAGATGTAACTTGCATAGTATCTTTTTCTATTTTTGTATGTACATTGTGTTTGATGTTACTTTTGATTATGATTGATGCGCCTTCTCTAGCTTTATTTTCAGTATGGATTGAATGAACGAAACTCTCTTTAGCAAGATATGTATGTAAGTCTCAAATATTAATGTTTATATATTCATTATGTAGAAACACTTCTAATTCTAGAACGTGGTTTAAAAGTCCGTTCGCGTTCTAGTTCAAAATTCTAATTCAAGTTCATCAAGTTTTTTTAATATAATTTTATGAATTTATTATTATCTATATTATTTGAAAAATTTACATGTGCAGTTTGGGCATACTTACATATATAACTCCAGGTGCTATTACACTATTTTGGTTTTGATGTGGTGTATTGTTACCACCAGTAGCATCACAAAGAAATCCTTTTCTCTGCATCATTTGCAGCAGAACGTCCACCAGCCTGGGCCGACATGTGTCTTCTTTTTTAAAGTTAACTAGCGAGAAGGCACTCCCGATAATTTACTGAATGATTCCCCCACAGTCTGCACATTTTGGATTTGATCTTCTCCGAATGGAGTAGTTTGCAGTAACATGATTTTCGCCACCCTTCCCACATCTCGAATTCCTTGCGATTAAAACTCCGACATTTCTTGCATTGTAGTATTATATTTCCTGTTTTCGGAATTGGTCCTATTTGAACATGAAGGGGGGCAGTTGTATTTTTAAAGTTATCAGTTCACCTTTTGAAATTTAAATCTCTGTTTTCATGATACTAACTGCGTCTATTATTTTGTAGCCTTGGTTTTTAATATTGGATATGATAACCTATTTATAACCAGTGCAGGCCTCTGGCCACTACTTTAATATTCCTATTATTTTTACTTTTATATGAAAATAAAATTCTGTTTTTTCATTATCCAGGTTTCAATGATTGTTTTAACTTTGTTGTAACGTAGTTGATTATACAAACTACATTGATAGATGGACGAACTTCAAAACGATACTTGCTTATGTTTATTTTTCAAAATTCTTTAAGGGCCTGATAGTCTATCTCGATATTTTACTCGGAAAGTAAGAAGTAAGTATCATATACTTGTATAATGTAATTTTCTAATGAGAAGAATTATTTGGTATTGCGTATCTCGTTTCGTTCTAAAATGCATACAAAATTGATTCAGTTTGTTTTTGAAAGGGAGACGTTCAGTCGATATTTTGAGGAAAAAGGCAAAAATCCAATTGGAAAAATGAGTACATAATCATATTGGCAAAGTAAAATATCGATGGTTCAAAACTATCGATAATACCATCGATATTTTTCCACTTCAACTACATACATATTATGTTAATACATATTACATAACATGATAATACAGCAACACCTCGTTTTGCGGCGATAATTGGTTTCCAAAAAATTCGTTGCAATCACAACGTCACAATTCCAAAATATTAAAGATAACATTACAATTCGAAATCAAAGCATTTTTAAGTTGTTCATAAATTTATTTATTAATACCAAAAATTAAGGCCCTTATTATGATCGGGAGAGCGAATGAAATTTTTGATACTATGATTAGCGAATTCACCTAAATTTTAGGCGAATGGGCATTCAACTCTGTCGAATGAAAATTTTGTGTGGCAAGCAGATTTGGATGATACAACTTTTGAACTTATGGGAAATTTTTACGTCGCAAAGTGTAACCATACAAAATTTTTTTTCTGCCGTAATATGAAATATCGCAAAGTGAAAAACTGTAAAGCAGTGTAGTTGAGTATGTAGTAAATTAGTGTCTATATTGATATGCATGAGCTTAAAATAACGTATTTTATACAATTCGGAATGCGTAACAATGTATGTAAAAACTTTTTCAGACACAGTACAAAAGCTGTTTATTTTCGAAGCTTGCGGTTTTACATTTGCGCTTTACTTATAGTTTTAAGAATGAAACATTTTATAAGAAGGAATTGAATTAAACCTTTCAATCATAAAAGTGACAAAATTTTAAATTAGGACAGGTACTAAACCCTGCTGAATTATACTCGAAATTCTGAAATACACTTTTAGGTACTAGTACACATACTTATGTACATATATAGCTGCTTGCTCTCCAAATAATAAAATTAAAAAAAACGGCTTTAAAAATCAGATAAAATAATGAGCTCATTTTTTGTAACATTTTTAATTAAAATTGAAAAACTTGGTAAAAGTGCCTTTAAAAGATTCTTGAAATGTACTACTTTGCATGCAAATTTACAAAAATTTTTTCGTTTATTAAGTAATTACTTTTAACTCCATTTCGTAATTATATTGTAGGTAAATACATATACAGATATTTAAAAGTTTAATATTGTAAAACTACAAGATTTTTGCAAATTTTACGAAAATTTCGGTTCCTTTTCCGTGTGTTTAAGGAATAGGAAATTTTCACGAAGAAAATCCTTGCCTTTCTTACATTCCGTTTCCATGTTATCACTTTGACTATCCAGTACCAGATTATATTTCCTCATATAATCGTAAGACCCAAAAGATAATTCATTAAGATATTTTTGATCTGACTTCTCTGCATTTAAGTTTAATATAAAATTTTTGCAATAATTTTGTGGTAAATATTTTTCGGCCAGCTTTTGCATTACTAAACTTCTATCAGAAGGTATTATTAAAGGAGAATTTTCTGGAAGAGTTTCTAATAAATTATGTGCGAAAACTTTTTTGGAATTCTCATTTAAATTAGTTTTCTTAGCTACCAAGAACGCGCTACGAATATAAAAATATTTAAAAATCTTTATAATGCATTATTGTTTTAAATTCATTTAATACATACTTTACATCAGTTAATAAATCCTCATCTGCTGATCTTTCAAAAATTTTTGGTTTTGGCGACTTTTCATAAATTTTGCTTTTAAAGCGAATGTTATCTTTCATATGAAATTCTCTTTCCGGAGAAATAGTTTTCGTCAGACTTGTATCAAATTCTTTCTCTTCCCTTTGCAAGGGATTAATATCATCCCTAATTAAGAAAAATTGCTTAGAAATTATTTCAGTGAGAATTTTCGGTAAATCATCTTTTATATTCTTTTCAAAACTTCTAAAATCATACTGTATTTGTTTTATATCTACAGACATGTTTTTAATTTCATCCGCCAGTTCAGTAATCCTCGCAGACATATTTTCCGAAGTAGAACAGTTGCAATGATGTAATTTTTCTGTGCCAACTTCAGCGTTTAACTTACTCGCACCAATGTTTATTTTATTTTGAATGTCTATTTCATTTTTCTTTTTAATTTCTGTAGTTTCACAATTTGAAGAATTTTTATCACATTCAGTAAATTGGATCGGCATACTATGTTTAGCAGAATTTAAATTTTCTGTTGTTTTTATCAAATTCGAAGCTATTTTCTTATCAAATTCTTTTTTGAACACTGAAAACGTGTCGGTAGGTAAAGAGCACTGTCCACTGTTCCTATTTGAAACGCATTTTAAAGTAAAATCGTCATGTAAACCAAAATGTTCATTAGATTTCTGATTGCTTTGTAGAACAGAGAGTTCTGGAACAGACGCTTTCGATGGGATCGTCACATTAAAGCCGGAAGAATAAATGCACTTATTTTGTTTTACTGTACTCAGACTTGGAGTTAAAATTTTTTCATCGTTTGTAAATATTAAAGATAGTTCGGGCACAGCAGATTGTAGTTTGGTAGAAGTCTAATAAAACAAATATCCTTTTAAATATATTTATATATATGTATATGTATATAGCTATATACTTGTTCTACTACTGTAGTTGGACTAGGAGCTAGTCTTGGGTAACTATCCTCGTAATCTGCAATATTATTTCTTATCATATCAAAACAGTACTATTTCAATTTTTTATAAAAAAACTACATAATGTATTACATATGTTTACGCAGCTCACAATTCGTAATTGACAATTAATTTCTTCAAATTTAAAATGCAGCGGCAACTATCGGCCGCAAATGAAACAAAGCAAAACACAAACCAAACGCGAAAATGGATGTATGAAGCATAAACTGGCTGAATTGTCATTTTTAGATTCTGCTAAAAAAAGTTCATGTTTACAGTTTTAAATTCCGATTCTTAATTTAAATTTTGCGAAAGTTCTGCCCCAAAATTTGTAGCTAAAAAATGAAGTTGTTTGAAATGGGGTAATTGTATCCTTGTTTTATCGACTGTCAATTTTAACACTTTGTTAAAAATAGACCTGTCTGGTATGAAACTTGAAAAAACTTTAAGAGGACAAAACAATGAGACACGTATTTCTCGCAAAAACAAAAAAATTGAATAAAAAAAAAACATACGGAAAAGTTCAAAACTTTTAAAAACTTAATAAATAGGTGATGAACGCCAAATTTTAAAATATTTATCTAACACAAAGAAATATTTCTTCGGTTATACAAAAAATCGAAAATTTTGATTTTGGATTATAAAGTGCAAAACTTGGAAATTGAGAAACCATTTGTGAATCCGTTTAGTTTATTTTATTTTTAAGTTTTGTAAAACAAATTATGAAAAATTTTTTTTTTGTAAAAATAAAATCTTATATAACAAAGAAAAACATATGTTTTGAAAACTTTAAGATTTTAAAGCACTAAATTTCACTTTACAAAACTTGAAAAAACTTTAAACATTGAGAAAATGAGAACATCATCTATTTTTCTTATTTGAAGCTTTGCATACAAAAACTATAAAGTTTTCTCAGATTCTGCAAAACCTTCAAAATTCTTCGGCTGACAAAAATATAGAGCCTGCACCCTAAGAAAGAGTGACAGTTCACAGCTGACGAATTTGCACATATTCTTATGGGATCTGTAGGGGGCCCTGTTTAACACCATAAATCTCCCACAAGATCAACTTTTAAATTTTTGAAATCCACGTTCTGTTCATTTTTTAAGATTTCAATAAATGCTACATTACAGGAGAAAAAAGAATAATACAATTATTTTTTTTAGAAGTATTTAGTTCCACTAAAATAAACTGAAAATTTTCTTTTCAAATTTTCTTTTCAGAAAATGTACATTTGATATTAAGGTGTTTTCTAATTTTGTATGATATATCTGCCAAAATGAATACTTCTGATGTAATCAGATATATACATATCTATATTTTAAAGCATTATTCATAAAAATTATTGCATATATGAATTCTTTTTACATAAGTATATTAAACGTTCATATGATTCTTTTTAGGTATACATATACATATGTACATATGTGATTTTAGTTTTATTAGGAAATATTTTAACATTGTTAGCAAGGTTAATTCGCTACCCAAACTACAAAATCAGTAATTTTTTTTTTTTTTATTATTGAGAGGAAGGGTGAAAAATATCGAAAAGCAGTAGTGTGGAACTTTAATCCACTAAAAAACACCCTCCTCAAAATAAATTATAAAATTAGTCGGAAACGACTAACAATTAAATTTGCTCTAACCTTTTTGATTATTTAGAAGCTTTTGATCTGGCTCGAGAGGTCTCGTACGTTTATGTCTCTTAACAAAGTTCTGATTGTCAACCAATCGAGCCGCCTCGATGTTGACATGATTGGATAAACGCATTTTAAGATTGGTTGCTCGGGTTTTAATTTCGTCTGGGATCGTGAGATCCCTGTGTATATCGGCATTACGGACATACCAAGAGCGTTTACAATGTCCCGTAATACTCTATTTTGAAATCTTTGAATAGATTGGATATGAGCCTGCGCAGCGCAGCCCCATAACTAAATACCGTAAGCTCAGACAGGCTTAAATATTTGATTATATATCAAAACTCTGTTGTATATTGTCAACTTAGAGCGCCTTCCCAAAAGCCATTCAAACTTTCTGTATTCCTCCTCGAGTTGAGATCTCTTTTTCTTTATGTGCTCCTTCCATCTGAGCTTTGCGTTTAACGTCTTTCCCAAATACTTCGCCATGTTTGCGGACAGAATGAGGACGTCATTTATCCGAACCGAAAATGAATTGTCAATTTTCCTACTAGTGAAATACAATTATAGGCTGAAGTCTTCTCAATAAAAATTTCTCTACCAGTTTTGAAATCATCGGCAACAATGAGATTGGTCTATAAGAAGTCGGCCTGTCTATAGGTTTGCCATATTTGTCCAGCATGACTATCTCTGCAACTTTCCAAATTTCAGGCACGTAATTAAACCTTATACACGCATTTATCAGGCGCGTAAGCATCGTTATACCCCTTTTTGGTAATTCTTTCAAAATATCGGCCGTTATTAGGTCAAATCCTGGGGCCTGTTTAGGTTTAAGAGTCCTGATTTCTTCTATAACATCTCTTTCCTTGACAATTGGAATATGCGGCCAGAATATATCGGCCAAATGATCCGCAAACGCATTTGCCTTGTTCTCGTCAGTTTTTGCCCACGTTCCTTCTTTGTTTTTAATAGGAGCGAGATGTTTGATAGGTTGCTTCATTTTCTTTGTTTTCCTCCGCAGTGAGTAATTGGTTTTCTCACATGCCGTCAAATTTTGAACATAATTGGCAACTTTGTATTTTCTAATACAGCGTCTTAGTTGCTGCGATTCACGATTATATCTGGTTTTATCAGTAGGATCACGCGTTTGCTGCCACCTCTTTCTCGCCGCCTGCTAGTATATGTGGGGGATAGTTAATGCCTGCCTTGCTAATAGCATTAATTTTCGAACTACTCCAAGCCGCATTTTGAATAATTTTGGTGAAGTTTTCGGCCTCCTCATCTATGTGCTGGGTCGTTCTTATTCTTTTCCTTAGATCTATTTTTCGTTCAATCTCTAAGCGAAATCTTGACCAATCTGTAGTTCCATTTATCACAGCAGGTTTCGCTTTTTTCATTACTATATTTTCCTTAAGTTCAAGAATAACCACCGAATGATCGGAGTTAAGATCATAGCTATCATGTACCTCGATGAAATTTTTCGCAATCCGTTTTGTTATGAAGAAATATATTAAATCTGGACACTTATTAACATCGGTTGGCCAATACGTTGGCTTCGCAGTAGAGTGAAAAAGGCACCCCGCGCTGGGAATTGCTGCCCTAAGTTCTCTTCCTTTAGTTGAAGTATGCCTTGAACCTCAATCAGTTTGCTTGGCGTTAAAGTCATCCCCCAATATAAATCTATCGCCTAGGTTTGTCAGAACGTTTTGAAAAATTTCTGCCGTAATTTTAAATCTGGAATGACAATATAATGCAGCCACTCTAAATTTTTGCTTCTTCGAAGTGATCTGAACCGCCTTCATTTGCTCGGTCGCAATGCACTTAAGAAACCGAATCCTGTTTCTTAAGGTCATATGTGTTTCAGTTACGAGGTACATGTCTATATTCTGTGTATGTAGAAAAACTTCAAGCAATACCATTGAAATTCCATGTTGCTATTTTAAAATTACCTCATGCCATCATTTACCAGGTCTTTTGATATTCGATTTTTTCTCTTCGCTCTCTAAAAAGGTCAATCTCCGAGAGATTTTGTCCATCATATCTAGCATGTTCTGCATCATATTTTGCATTTTATACAAAACATTCATGTCACTGGCTCTTGCTTTATTGTTCGTGCCACCGTCATCAGTTTTCGTTTGGAGAACGACTTTGTATGTTACATCCTTTGAGACTATTGTCGAGGTGAATTGCCTCGGTGGGCGGTCAGAATTCTTCTTCAAGTTGTTGTTGCTGTTCTTATTTCTACGTTTTTGCAGTTCCTTAGCTACAAGGCATCCCCTATAGTTTGCTGTTTGGGCCTTCAAGCAATTGGAACACTTTGCTGCAGTACTCTTTAGCTTACTACAATCTGATGTTAAGTGCCTGCTTGCACATTTAACACAATTTGATTCTCTCTGGCAAAATTTTTGTGTATGGCCATACCTTTGACAACTTTTACAATGCGGAATGGTCCTATCCTTTCGAAGTGCCTTTATCCTAACTTTCATCTTGTTTATGTGATCGATTTCATAAATTTTTTTCATCTCCTCGTCATTTGAGAATGTTAACATAAACTGCGGTAAAGGCACCATAATGTTTTTCCCATTTTCTTTTATTTTTTTAATTGGTATTAAAAAATATTGGTTACATCTAAGATCTTGTAGCCCCTAGAGCTTAAGTCTTCTTTTATATTTTCCGGTTTTCAACTGGAGTTAAGATTTCTTACCATGACTTTTATTGGTCTGGCCTGCTTGTTTTCATAGGTATGCCATTCTAGTCCAGATCCATTCATGGCCCCGGTAAGATTCGTGTAATTTATTTCGGGAATTACAATAAGCTTAAATTGATTGTTATTCATCATTTTAACCTTATAATTGATGCCCTTATTTTTTAATGTTGACTCTATTTGATTATAGTAAACCGCATTACTTATGACTACTGGAGGCGGCCTAGAGTTTTTCGTGACATCGCCTCGACTTTTAGAATCAGGAGCATCCGCTTTTTCAGGGTTGATCGTCACCTAAACCACTTCCGGAGATGATTCCGCTTTTCTTTTCCTAATGCACCTCTTTTGCTTTAGGATCCAATCTGTTTCTCTGGCGAGTTCTTCCTCATCTGTTGAGTAGGCGTCCAAGACTGCCCTTACCTGCATTATTTGTGCTGCAGCGTCTTCTTCATTATGACTACTATCATTAGGCCCATTGTTTGTAATTTACACATGTTTCTCTTTCTTTAGCTTCTCATTCTCAGCTCTCAGTTGAAGAACCTCGTTTTTCAAAGCCACACAGAGCTGTTCTAGTTGGCTAATCCTTTTATGTATGTCAGCATTCTGATCATAACTTTTTTTGGCTTGAGCTTTACTCATGTTTATATTCTTATTGGTCTGTGGAGCTTGAATGTTCGGTAGTCCACCTTCTATATTTTTATTCTTTTCTTAAATGAACGCCGGGTTTTCGCGTTCCTCCTGAACGGATCAATCAAATGCAATAAATGGCTC